TATTAATTACGTAAATGCGACAAGTTTTGGATATTTGTACTCAAATAAAAAGATTTTGAAAGGAAATTACAATAAAAACAAGGTTTAACAGACGTACATTTAAAATGAGGCAAATATTGAAACGGTACGAATGCAGCATATTATTATTTAGTATCTAATCAAGAAAGTTCCCCTTTTTAGATTAAATTACATAAAATTTGTCAATACGGCCCAAAGTAGCTTTAATGTAAAGTTATAGACAATTTTAAAGTTTTGTTTTACCACGTCGTTATATACGAACCTGTTTCTATTTGCTTGGTTTTACTTTTGGGATTTGCTAGATTGAGATATACTGTTTTCGGAGGGCAGCAGGAAATCCTTTTATCTTTGTTCTGAATCTATCTGACCATAAATGCCAGCCACAAAGTGAAAACTAATAAGAAAATGTTGTTGTTATTAAAAATTAAAATTTATTGCCACTAAAACTTAGTGGTATACTGTCGTAAAAGTATCGAACGATGGTGGCATTTCAAATTTTATTTTACCTTCGAAGGGTGCCCGTATTTTATCCAGAATGTAGCATTTTGTCAGGTAGGTTAAAACGAAATTAATGTGCCCTTTTTGTATCGCTTTTCGGGGGCAATTAATACGGGCAGATTTACATCTAAATAAGCGGAGTATCAATAATACTCAAAGTTCATCCATAATACCTACTATAGTAGCGTATAAGCGTTTGGTAACTGCAATAGCTACGTAGGGTGTTATATAGAAAATTAGTAGGAATAGATTTTTGAAAAGCTGTATATCTGAGTTATCCAATGAGTGCGTTTAAGTTTAAATATTTTCAGTTTTACATTACCTCCACTTATACCGGAAATTTGCCCGCACTTCAATATTACTCACCTTGTGTACGTCTTCAAACAAATGTATCGTGAAACATTAAAGACATCCGAGGGGTCGTTTCCAAATTCCCAAAATTTTGATGCCATTTTCCATTATGCGGTCCCAGTGACAGAATCTCAAAAAAAACAACAAAGGGCATTGACGAATGAGCAGCTGTTGAGGGCGATTTTGCGGACAAACCAAATGAATATTTTTATACTGGATTAAAGATGCTATTGAAAAGGTGTTATACCCGTATTCAAAAGCAGAGGAGATATGTATAATGAAAAATACAATTTTGTTGTTGCTCTAGTCTTTTGTTTTCATTCCTAGTCCGGGAATAGAAAACAACCCTCGTATTTTTATATAAGTTCAATTTTGATTTGTGTCTCTTAAATCCACAAAAATCCCCAGTCTCCCAAATTCTTCACGATCCTTCGTTCCCGATTTCAGTCTCAGATTCTTTAATTTTTTCCAATCTTCAAGAACCTCGGATTCTTCTGTTTATAAGCTTTTCAGGTCTGACATTCTTTGGACTTTTGCAATTTTTTTGTTTTTCAAATGCTTCAGATTGAGACCATTTTTCACTTTCTTCCGTTTCCTAGAATTATGCTGTATTCAGATTTTGTAGATTTATACGATAGGTATTTCATATTTTTACAATTGTTGGGATCCTTCAGTTTCTAAGAATTTTTTGAACCTTTTAGGTTCTTCGGACAACGGACTATATGGAATTATTGGTGCTTTTAAAATTTTGCAAACCTGGATCTGGACACACAGGCCCTAGACATCGCCCTCAGGACTTTAGGCGATACACGACGGAAAGCCATCTAAATCTACGAATTCGAAATCCTTCATCAACATATTCTCGAACGGCACGGCTGTAAAGAAAGTGTGTGTATGATGTTGGAAAACCGTCTGTCCTCGACAATTGAACACTTTTTGTTTCATCATGGCACACTTGGGTTCGAAAAAGAACGTTTTTCTAAAAAAAAATTGGCGTTTCGACCTTTTTTGAACTGAATGTGAGTTTTTTGTATTAGATTAGTGGATATTTTGGAGTTTCGGCTATCCAGAGCTAGGTGGACGCCATTTAAAATTAAAAAAAATATTACACATGGTGCAGCTGAATCAAAAAATTCCTTTTTTCGAAAAAGTACCCAAAAAAATTATGTGAAAGTGCAAGAGTCTATGCTACAATTTAAAACTTAGCCGCCGCCGCCGGCGCGATTTAGTTTTTTACAAAACATTCGAAAAACGATCAAATTTGAGAAATCTTTAAAGTAGTACGCACATATTGATTAAAACTAGTTGTAAATCAGCATATATGATGATGATATATAATGAAAGCGCATTTTTGGTAATGCAGATCAGTATTTGATTAGCAAAGTTAGCTAGCCCGCCATAACGAATATAAGATAATAATTAAGTTGTTATACTGGTAGCGCTATCTAACGGTAAAATTATTGCTCCTCCGAAATCAATATCGAAATTATTTTCTTAGATTATCGATCTCACAAGTAATCTAACTCAAAATAGACTACAGCCTGCACATTTACACTACATCAGAAAGCTTTTAGTGAAAATTCGAAGTCTCTAGTTATTGTAATTGCTGAGATTTCGGTCGGACAGCCAGCCAGCCATACGAACATAATAGCGTATTTTTTTCGCCCTAAAAATAAGTACTTTTCGAGTACTTTTCAAATCTGCAATAAAATATGGGGTGTTTTATTTAAAACTTGAGTTTGATGTTTCTTTGTCCTTAAGACCTTTTTGTATTTTTCATAAAAGTGCTCCTAAAAAACGTCTTAGAAAGAATCTTTTAGAAACTTTAGAGGTTTTTTCTTAGTAGCATAGTGGATTGAATTCACACTGCGGTACTGGAACTTCCAGGTTTGGATCCGGATCCGAACATGGATATTTATAAACGTCTAGCGGGCTGGGTTGATAGAGGAGCGTTGGCTGGTGGCACAGTGCTTTGTATGTGAAACGTGGACAATGTTGAAAAAAGAAGTGAAGCTATTGAAATGTGGATGTCGAGAAGAATGCTTGGAATAAAGTGGTCTGAAAGAACTCGGAAACAGCAAGTTCTGCAAAGAATAGGAGAAGGAAGGTCCTCGTATAAAACAATTTTGGGAAGGAAAAAATGTGGTTTGGCCATGTGCTAGTAGCCGTCGAGAGTACAAGGAAAGGAGGAGGACGAGTGGAGATGATGGACGATTTGAAAGAGGAGGCAGGATACGCGACTATGGAAAGAAAGCCGGCTATGAACAGAGAGGAATGGAGACAACAATATTTAGTGACGAATCGAGTGGATGATTCAAGAAAAACAGTTATAAGAGCAAAATAGTAACCGAAGAATGGTGTAGGGAACATTCTTTGTCTATCAACGCGACAAAAACAGATCTAGCGCGATGCGAACAGAACTCCCAGAACCGTAATCGAGGCCCTTCTGGGTCTGCCTTCATGTGAAAGAGCAGGTTGCTCTGTGTCTGAAAAATAAGCGGATGTTGAATAGCAGAAGTGCTGAGGTGGGCCACTCTCGAATTCTGGGTGAGGCGATTATACGATTGCCTAACCTAGAAGGGCTTCTCAATTCGTATTAGGAAAAACTTCACATTTTTCTTGATGAGTATGTGGCATCCCAATCAGACACATTCACCTTCACGGATGGATCTAAAACAATGGTATTTACTCCAAAGAACTGCACTTCCATATCGCCCAACCATTAGGCAAACTTCCTACTGTATTTCAGAGTTGGTAGGTCTAACGCTTAGTGCAAGAAAACTTCTTATGCATAACATAAAAAGAACAAAACTACCTCGCAGGCATATGGTTACTGTAAAATTACACCCTTGAGTTCGCTTGGGCTAAAGGGCGGAAGGTAATGAGAAAACCGATGAGTTAGCTCGACACCCAAACCCAGCACAGGACTAGGTCGCCATGCGAGAGAAGCCTTCAAAGGACCATCTCATAGCTAGGCGCGAAAGAACCTGGGGTTACTCGTGGGCATACTTTCTGGGCACATGTACATGAACCGCATGGGTTTGGTAAGATCACCATTACCTTGTAAATGTCCCGCTCTAGTCCAATCGAGACGATCCATGTTGAGAGTATCCTGGCCGGACATGGCTATGATTAGAGTCTTCCAGCTCCATCTCTTGTGTGGGATGGATTGAGTAGCGTTGAGGGATCGGGCCGACTCTAGTCAGGGAGGTAGTACAAAGGGTCCGAATTTGAGGCCTAGATACGTGTGGACCCTGTTCACCTTTAATCGTAATCCAGAAACCAGAAGAGCAAAAATTAAGCATTACACAAAGATTGTTTGAAACGGACTCATTAGTTACTTCTGCTTCAACTCGATCTTAACTCATTAAAGCGCGTACAAAATTGAAATAATTATCTTTCATATTAGAAGAGACTCAAGGGGGTAGAATGCTAGCACAATTTTTAAATTACAATATAAATAATTTACCGTAATTCATACATTCCTGAAGTAACACCGGACGTCGTAGCTTTGCCAATGAAACTTCCGGTTTTTAAAGTTTCCGAATTAGGCATCTTTGAAACAATAATGCCTTGAAATATGCCTAAAGACTCAAATATGTACGCAATGTTTAAGAACACTCTCAAATTCGTATATTGGGTTCAGTATCTAAAATTTTTGCACCCTCAATAAAATTACGCACATATCGCATATGCACTGCGTAGCATAATTTGCAATTAGTGCCTCTCCGATAAATCAGGGAGGTAATGGTAGTAGCGTCACGATAGATTTCGTGAAAGCTTTCATCGGAATTTGTACAGAAAATCGCGTAATGGTGAATAATTTGGCCCAACTTCTTACTCTATATGAGAATCACGTAATAAGGATAGCAGTAAACCGGAAGTATATTAAAAGAACACAAACACTAACCGTAGTTTTCCAAATGTACAGGAAGCCAAGCCGGCGGTGTTTTAAAAGTCCGCCGCTACGTGCTACCAGTTTCCCATGAGACAACTCAATACCTCTTGATGAATAGGCCGTGTCTTTAAAACTCCATTTAAATGCATTCCTTAACTTCGCTGCCTCAAGATGTGCGAAATCTTTATCTTAAGTACTTAAAAACATTTAACGTTAACTAAATAAGGAAGCTCTATGAAATCGAACCATTTATTTTACATGCAAGCTGTATTAACAGTTAGCAAAGTGTCAATAAGGGCTTTATAGGTAAGATCCTCTTACGGAGTTCTTTTTATAGACCGAATCATTTTCATCTGAATCTTGCTGATTATCGCGTTTTCCTTGTTGGTTTACAACAAACCGCCCTCCCTGTTGTTGTTCATCGGAGTGCTGCACGGAGGTACATAAAAACATTATTCTTCAAATGAATGCAGTACTTACGAATACACGTTTCCTTAAGTTGTCGTATGTTTGTTGTCCTTCATTCAAAAAGTCTCTGGTCATGGAACCATAATGGGAATCCTGAGGATTGATGTTGTGTTGATTCTGGCCTTGGTATTGGTAATCCCCTTGAAACGATTCAATGCCTTTCACACCGACCCTCTGACCGTTATTAGAATCGTAGTCATAACTTCCATAATGGGATTGTTGTTTCTGCTGGTGTTGATGTTGCTGCCAAGGCTGCTCCGAAGCCACGGAGCCCTGGCCCTGCCCTTGGTATTGTCCGTATTGGGACATTTGTTCATAATCGTTTACTCCTTGATAATTTTGCCGATAGTGTTGTGGTTTACCTTTGCGTCCCCAGATAACACTCAAGGAAGGACGGTCTTGTCTATGTTTCCCGGTCTCATCGGACTCGGTTCCGGTCTCACTTCTGGGATTAAAGAGTTGTCCTAAATCAACATCGTCTTCGTCTTCCTCGTTATGTCGACTGCCTAGGTTGCTCTCGATCTTGTTGTACGGCGAGTAGCTGTGAGCTACTTGCCCGATCTACCAAAATTCTGCTAAGATAATCAAAACAAGCATGTTTCCTACTTACCGCGATTAGAAGGACGGCGATCACTAACTTATTCATTTCGAAGCTTGCAAAGACTAATTGAGATCTTTGCGTTTTGCCTTTTTATACTTTGAGCAATGTAGCTGTCATCATTAAAATCCAAAATCAGCAAGTAGTACAGTTTCAGAATTGCATAGCTGTTATACTCGTGTACCATTTTTCCCTAACGCGTGGGATCAAGTATGCGATTGCGAATTTTGTCTGCGTTTACAAAATCAAAGTTCAGAATTATAAATACGTCATGTACTGTCTCCCACAGTGCCAGACTAACTGGTAGAACATCGGGGGATGGATAAGATCCACAAGCCTAAAGTCGCAAGACTGCGCAAAATGGGTGGTTGGGTTGGGCATTTTGTATCGCACTCGATTTCGAACAGTCGTTATAAAAGTAAATTAAAACTTGAAATTGGGAATATCTGACAAGCATCCAAATTTACGTTCTAGAGGGTCGTGTGCATTTCTAATATATCAAAAAATCGTGTTTCTAAATATTCCATGGAATAGGTAGTAGGTATTTATATATTTCGCATTTATTTAGAATGTACCACATGCCATGAAAATGGAGCATACGCAAAAATATATGCACCGCAGTTATTAAATACAAAGAGATTTGCTACCATGACCGTCAGTTATGGATGTATGAGTCTCATCAAGTCATTAAAGTTTATTATTTACATTAGATGTATAATTACATAGCGCGATAAATTTGTTTATCCAATTAAAAATCACGTGCTTAGTTTGCAGAACAAATTCATTCATTATCAATAGAGAACTTTAGAATTTTCTAACCTTGATGAAAGTTAACCGATATTGTATCACCGAGTTAGTGTGTGGAAATGTATATATGAACAATTTTTCTTAAGGTAAAGTACCTTTTATGTAGTCAGAAGCCCTTGTCTTGGTTCCCAAATTTGTTTGTTGTAATTTCAGGTTTATACACAGTTTTTTGGCGGACTGTTTTGGTTTCTAACGTTTTCAAGATGCTTTTGACATGATTATAATATATTGCATTATACGCCAACTCATTATTCCTTTCATAATCAGGATTTCTTAATACACGAAGGACTGTTCTTCCAACCTTTAGGCTCAGGTTTCAAATAAAGATTTAATTTTGTTAATTGAGCCACTGATTCAATATGCATTGCTTAGTCTTGCAGAAAAATTATGATCAACCTAAATAACACAGATTTGTCGAAATCCCGACTGTCTATAGATATATTATGCGCATTTCCACTTTTCCATATTGCTCACAAAACCTTCATTAAGTAACCCAATCGTCGTATAGTTAAAAAAAATGGCCCAAGGACAATTTTCATTCCAAAATTTTTTTTACCGAAAAAAACGAATATCTCGTTGAAATAAACTTATTTTTGCGGAAAGGAAAAATAAAAAAAAGAAAAAATGGTTTTGCGCAATTTTCTCGGTTATTTTGAGATTATGTAAGAAAGTGATTGGATTGTCCACTTCTTTTGAACACTTTTATCTCTAACTTTAACTTTTGTCCGAAGTTGCCGAAATACGATTTTCGCCCCTTTTCACTCTTCTCAAAAATTTAGTCCCACAACAGTTTATTATTTTCTTCCATGAAATAATTTTAACGCACAATCTGGTAACAGTGTCTATACTTAATTTTATAGCTGTGTAACTGAACTGCATTGTAACCGTTGAAGGTGAAACCTTCCCTATCCTTTTTTTTCGCTTTATTATTATTTCAATTTTAATATAGATCCTTAAAAGAGACTGTAATAATATTCCCAAAAAGGTGTCTAAAAAATACTGAAGGTTCTCACGAAGGTTTTTAGTAAATTTTTTGTGGTAGTCTTCGATGGAGATGATCTGTAGGATGGAAAAATCAATGGTGGCAGGAAGATCTCTAAACATTTTTGGAAGAGCACCATTTCAACTTCTTACGATTTGGGTGAAATTGTAATGTTTCTAAAAAAGTTTTCCAAGAACACTTTTTTCTGGGATTATATTTTTAACATTGTTAATAACATTTCCAATATGGCACCCATTTAACAAAAGAAAGTTAATATTTATGTCAGTTGCAGCCACCTTGAATTTTCATTTGATTCGATTAGGACCTCATTATTGAGTTTACATATCAAAATGCTACGAACATTGTCGGGAAGCCCGCGCACAAACGGTTGCTTTAAAAAAACGGTATAATTGAAAAAACTTAATTAGCAATTATATGTAAATTTGAATTTAAACGGCGACATCTCCACGGGAACGGTTACAAACAGCAAATTACTTACAGCATTTGGATTTCTTTATCGGTGGCTAAAACACCATGTTAGAAATAAAATTATTTACAGCACTCCTATAACAAACATCCATAGGTTCGAACTTCGAAACTACATTTTATCGTAAGGAAGTGCCTTTACAGACTGTTAGAGGTCCACTATTAAAGGAATCGGACAGAGGCTGTAAGTAATTCTTAAAAAAGACGTTGAAAATACTCAAAATCTCTTGAAGACTCTCAAGGACGCACAAAAGCCCCATAAGGACCTTCCTAAAAGCATAGGAAGTTTGTTAAGGACCATTTAAAACTAATAAAACTTTTGAGGCTCTGGGAAAACAATTGCGACCTTTAAAAGCCCGCAAAGATTTATAAACGCCATTAAAAACTTTTAATTACAAGGACTCAAAGCCCCTCAATAACGCCTCTAATAAATTTTCAAAGCCGTATGAATTTATTTACTTTTATTTATTTCTTTTTTCCCATCCCCTCGGCTCCTACATATTTTAAACGGGCTAGAAACACTATAAAAGAACTCTCTTTGCTATTGAAATACTGAGTAGGCGTGTAAACTTTTCAAATTTCATGTGGTAGTTCATTCCACTGCAAGATTTTGAATTTATATTGGAAGGAGTGGGGGTCTTTTGCGGAATTTTTGGACAATCTGCAGGTGGAAATCTGCAGTGTGTTCAAAAATTCATTTCTTAGGGAAGAAATGGAATATTTTTCTCCATTTTTTAAAACGTTCTTTTCACTTTTCGTTTATTTACCTGATTTTTATTCACTATGTGCGGTCTCAAAAATCAATGGCGCCATTACACTCCTGCATATTTCATATCAGCTTTATTGCAAGTTTGTTGATTATATGACTATAACTTTCTGTACAGTTATCAATTAAAAATTGCAATCTACTACATTTCTATATATTGACTATGTTTAGATCTCCTTTACTGTATATTTAGTGTTATAATATAGTGTTCATTAAGGTCTTATCTTTCTATTAATCATTCTGTATTTTTCAGCTTGTTTAAAGAGACAACTTCTTAATTTGAAGTTCATTCAAATTCCATTACCTTTAATTTAAAAAAAGATTATATTGGACAAGGTCTTTGGTCTTTGGAAAAGCGTCTTCAAAATTCCGATTTTTGTCAATTGTGTTTCGATCTATGCCAATACGATTCTTATCGCACCTACAGATAATTCTATAAAGGTAAATGTAGACGTGATACTGAACAGTGTTGTCGAAGATTTCTCTAGGTCGACGTTAATATGATGCCCAGGACCGTAATTCTTTTTTGTAAGTCAGTACCTAAAATTCCACCTTCCTTTTAAAGTTTTTTAGGCGTAGTGCTTTCGTTTTCACTGCCAATTAAGGCAGCCCAGTTGGTATCTCTAATACAAGGCGATGTGAAACTGAGTATATCCCAGGAAAGCGGAAAGTTGCTTTTAACTGTGGTCAATGGTAAGTTACAACTAAAAAAATTCCCTAAGCGCTACCAAAATGTCGTAGGTTCAACAACAAAGTTAACGGGAGAAATTGGAATTCGCACAGCTGACGCAAGCAGCACCGCTTGTATCGACGTTCCTAATTGTTTCGAATTCGGGAACAACAGGCTGCACGTTTACCAGCACATCGATTACGGTTTTACCATCCTTTGGACAACGAACGTTCTTTCAAAGGTGTTTGAAGATTGTTTTAGTCTTGGCGATCATCATTGGTTTGGAGGCCCGGAACGGTTTCAACAAGCTTGGCCCATAGAAAAATTAACCCTATCAAACTTCGCAAACGTTTTACAAGAGGACCAGTGGGGTGCAATCGTCGAACCGTACTGGCTAAACTCGGCTGGTGTCTACATCTTTGTCGATGAGAGGGTTCCGTTGTTTATAAACCAAAACACAGCCACGACACAAAAGAAAGTGTGCTTCTCCGCAAAGGCGGTCTCACCCTACCCACAAAGTCGCCAAAGGGTAACTGACTTATCCACAAACTAACTCCCATACCTATCGCACTATTTTAGGTGATACTGCATTACACTATAGGGGTTCAGGAAAATGCCCGCAGTGCACATTTACATGCCGTAAAAAATTTCCTAGGCAAACCTACAGGTAAAGCACAATTTGAAACACGAACACTTCTATTCGGTTTAAATTAGGTCATCCCAATTATAGAATAATCGAAAGGCCCATTTGGTCAACATGGGCCAAGTTTAAAAGGGAAGTAAATGACGAAGTTATTACCGCCTTCGCAAAGGAAATTGTGGATAACGGGTACCCAAACGGACAATTTGAGCTCGACGACGATTGGGAGGTCTGTAGACATTCAACAGTTTTATCGTTCGTCAACTGGGTTTCTTTTAGGACTGCTATGGGGCGCTCACCTTCAGGCAGTCAAAGTTTTCGAAAATCACTCAAACTGTCCAATACATAAAATCATTGAATTTTACGGTTTCGCTTTGGGTTCACCCGTTCATCAACATCGATTGCACGAAGTATCTAAATCTTGCGCGAAACTATGGTATGTCCTATACCCTTCAGTTGCAGGCCATAAGATTTCTGTTTAGGATTCCTAGTGAAAGACTTAAGTGGTAACGACCTCACACAGTGGTGGAATAGCAAAAATCGGGAGGCTACTTACTTAGACTTTACCAATATCGAAGTTCAGGAATGGTTTGTGGCTAGGCTCAAAGCTTTGCAAAAGGCACACGGAATAGACAGTTTTAAATTTGATGCCGGTGAAACAAGTTGGGCACCAACGGTGTGAATCTCCCTAATTAATCGTAATTAAATAATTTGCAATAGATTTCGCAACTGTACGGGGATGTAGAAAAGATGCCAAACGTGCTTTCAGTCGACTACGTGCGTACCTGTGCTCGATTAGGCGATTTGGTAGAGGTACGATCTGCATGGAAAACGCAAGATTTGCCCATATTTGTGCGAATGATCGATAAGGATTCGAATTGGGGCCTTTCTAATGGACTATACACGCTTATTACAACATTATTTCAAATGAATCTGAATGGATACTCAATGTATGTGGAGTTTTAGCGACTATTTTTAGTCAATTTTGTTTAGGGTGTTGCCGGACATGATTGGTGGCAATGGCTATGACGGTAAACCATCGGCGGAATTGTTTGTGCGGTGGTTGCAAGCCAATACCTTCATGCCGAGCATTCAGTTCAGTTACGTTCCGTGGGAGTTTACTAATGCAGCGTTTAATGTAACTCAAATATCGAGAAAATTTGTTGATTTGCATCAGAAGTATGCTCCTTACATCAGGTTACAAATGGAAAGGAGCATCCAAGAAGGGCACCCAGTAAACGCTCCTATTTGGTGGATTTCTCCCAATGACGCAACTGCTTTGGCGATGGACACTGGTAGGTAACGCACTATTAACGATCAGCTTTCTGTATTCTTTTACAGAGTACCTGCTGGGAGATGACTTACTGGTAGCACCAATTATCATTCAAGGGGCGACGTCTAGAGTCGTTTATTTGCCTGCTGGAGAATGGGTGGATGGTAATAATGGGTCAACGTATAAGGGTCCGATTGAACTAAGAGACTATAGTGCACCAATTGAAGTTTTACCATATTTCATTAAGGGATCATTAATTCATAATACAACCGATTCAGGAAGCGTTACGTTATACTGTGTTACACCGATTGTAATTTTCGTTACCGTGACGATGGTGGTTATCACAGGGTGAATTGCATTTCTTATAAAGAATTACTCGTAGAAATAAATTTGTCTCAAAGCATTTGGTTTTTATGATATACATTTAAAACGTTTATCCACTTTTCTCGAAATGTCTTGAGGTGGATCCTCAGTTGTTGCGTCAAACTTTTACCATTTACCACATCAAAGATTGAATTGAAAAAATCGTTAAAACTTAATTTTTTTAAACCCTGAATTTTAATAATTATTGTGTCTTATTAAGTACAAAAAATAAGGCCCCCTTGTTTAGTCTGTTCTAAAAAGGTACAGTTTTTGAAATATTTGCAATTTAATATTTTTCTACTGTAAAAATGCTATTATGTCCGGTTTCAAGTGAGAAAAAATGACGTTTCTCAAGTGCGTGATTGTGAGTCATGACCTAACCAACGAAAATTCTTAATACCGTACTTACTTAATGGCATTTTTATAATAAACAAATATTAAATAGCCAATCACATTTTTTTGAATATGCCACTTTATAAAAAGTTTCCTTTAGTACCCAGAGATTTATTTAATTTAAATTATTCAATTTAACTTTGAAGCATTCCAGAAATCCCGATATAGATCGAGGCGCCATGACAGATTAGTCACCGTTGAAAGCTCAAAATGGAGACCAATATTTGCAGCAGGTGTATTACGTCCAATTAAAGAATCCAACGCAAAATTTGGTCGAAACTTTGGAAGAACTCGAAGCTGATCCTACGGCTCCAGAAAGCTTTATGAAGCAACTTTAGGTGCAGACGTTTATAAATAGTGTTCCTATAGAAGAAAAAACGCAAATATAGAAGAAATAGTGAAAAGATTGGAGTAACGGACAAAACGACGAGGGCTGCGATGCGGAGGTTGTGGTAAAAACTGACATATTATAAATAATTGCCACGACAGTGCCTCGACCAATAATCACGAAAACTAGGATGCGCGGTGGTAGGTATATCGGGAGGGCATCTAGGAGTGACAAAAACCCTGGTTAAGGTGCTGGAACGATTATACTAGGTGAATTGCAAACAGAGAGAAGGAATGGTGCAGAAAACGTACAGTTTGTGCCACAAGCAATGGACTAGTAGGAAAGAAGAAGACACCAATGAGGAAATACAATGTGGCTGGTCCACTTGAAACAACAGCAGATCGTGGGCTACTTCCCAGAGAAAGCTGCTGGAAATAAATACATCTTGGTGACCATTTCGGTATAGCAAGACTAGATTTGGTGCCGATCAATGTGATCTAGGAGAGAATAATTCGCGACTGGCCGCATGCCGATTTGGAAGCTCCACAGACTCCCATCAAAATGAGGAAAATTTTACGCATGAATCCAAAACTGTTGCCGAATAAAGCTAAATATTTGTATATATGTATGTACAGAATGAGACCCTGTATAAATGATATGAAAAGTCCCCTAACATCCCAGTTGAGCTTCCGCCGCCATATTGAATATGTCGAACTATTTCTCCTTTTTAGACACTATATACTCAAAAGACTAAATCCAATCCTATCAAATTGGGCAATGAATAGACAATACCATTGCATTTGTACACAGTCAATGATACTATGCAAATTCAACCGATGCCGGTTTTCGACATATTGAAGCTAACGTTGGAGCAAGGTTCTCCTCCTTGGGAAATGAGTTGCTAAGGTATCTTGAGCTTATTTCGCATTTTTCGCGGACCACACACATAACCAGATATGATGATTAGATCCTCTCGAATATTTAGTGATAGGATTGCCAAACCACTCAAATTTAATCGGGTAGATAAGATTTCAAAGGTGAATGTAGTCATATCAATTTGCTCAGTAACTGCACCGATCCGCCAAAAATACAGACGGTCTCACGATGCGCAGAATTCTAACACTTTGCTGTAAGTTGTTGACCAATAGCCTGCAATGCTGTAATTCACTAAAATTTTTAGACGTTCTGATTTGGACTGCGCCAGTAACTAAAGCGGAAGATATTGTATTACTAAAACAGAACGAAGTTTCGCTACGCCTTTCGCCGGAACAAGGCAGGCTTGGGTTAACCGTATCTGATGGTAAGCTATGAACCCAGAGACTTGGTAATCTCATTAGAATTGTCACAGGTGAAACAATAAAATTAAAGGGAAAGATCGGGGTTCGAGCATCTGAACCGTTTACTCCCTGCGACGGTGGCGTTAAAAATTGCTTCATGGTAGGTGATGGCATGCTCCAAGTAAGCACGCACCTGGATTACGGCTTTACAATACATTGGTCGACGAATAACACCAGAACTGAATTCGAGGACTGTTTCGATCTCGACCCTTTTCATTGGTACGGTGGTCCGGAACAGATAATGCAATTTTGGCCAATAGAAAAATTAACCCTGATCAATTTTGCAAACGTTCTGCAAGAGAATCAGCACGGTGCGGTGATCGAACCCTACTGGTTAAACTCTGCGGGCGCATTCATCTTTGTCGATCATAAGGTTCCGCTATTTATCAGTCAAAATGGAGATGAATCTGAGAGGAAAGTGTGCTTCTCGGCGAAGGTCACTTCGCCGTACCCACCAACTCGTAAAAGGGTTAGTAACATCTTTACGTTGTCATCAATATCACTTTTGCCATTTTAGGTAACGCTAGCTTACACAATAGGTATAAAGGAAAATGTGCGCGAAGCACATTTGCACGCAGTAAAGGATTTCTTAGGCAAACCAACCGGTAATACACACTAATCAAAAACACTTCTAATTAGGTACTGTAATGCAGGTCATCCAAATTACAAAATCATTGAAAGGCCGATTTGGTCGACTTGGGCTAGGTATAAGAGGGACGTGAACGATGAGGTTCTGCGCGCTTTTGCCAAGGAGATTGCTGACAATGGATACACGAACGGACAATTTGAGATCGATGACGATTGGGAGGATTGTTATGGAGCTCTTACGTTCAGAAGTTCCAAGTTCGCAAATATTTCCAAAACCGTTGATTACATAAAGTCGTTTAATTTTACGGTGTCGTTATGGGTTCATCCCTTTATCAACACGGATTGCGTGGGCCATTTAAGTGTGGCAAGGGATAGAGGTAGGAAGCAGCATGAGTATTTGCAACATTCATAATCTTTGTTTAGGATACCTTGTTAAGAACTTTGAAGGCAGTGATCTGACAAGGTGGTGGAACAGTGCAGGTGGTAAAGCTACTCATTTAGATTTCACCAAACTAGAAGTACGAGAATGGTTTGCTGGGAGACTTAAATCTCTGCAAAAAAATTATGGCATAGATAGTTTTAAATTCGACGCGGGAGAAACGTCTTGGGCCCCTACGGTATTGCCATTTCAATTTAAATGGTGTAAAGTCATTCTGGTTTTAGATATCACAACTACAAGGCGACGAAGAAACGATGCCGAACGTACTTTCTGAGGATTACTTGCGAATGTGCGCTGAATTTGGAGATTTAATAGAAGTCAGATCTGGATGGAGAACTCAAGATTTACCTATATTCGTGCGAATGCTTGATAGAGACTCACACTGGACCTTATTCAATGGACTTCACTCACTTATAACAACCTTACTCCAAATGAATATGAATGGTTACACAATGTATGTTAAAGTCTATTACAGTAGAGTTCTCAAACAGTTACTTGTACAGGGTGTTGCCAGACTTGATCGGCGGTAATGGATATCACAATCAGAAACCTTCAGCGGAATTATTTGTAAGATGGCTGCAAGCAAATACCTTCATGCCCAGTATTCAGTTCAGTTTCGTCCCATGGGACTTCACCGAAACAAAATTTAGCGTGACAGAGATATCGAGGAAATTCATCGATCTTCACCAGAAGTACGCCCCACACATAAAAACACAAATGGAAAGAAGTATAAAGGAAGGACATCCAGTGAATGCTCCAATTTGGTGGATTTCTCCAAACGATACGATAGCTTTGACGATTGATTCAGGTTTGTGGAGTTTTGCTTAAGCTATTATTTGTACATTCATTTTAGAATTTTTACTGGGGGAGGATATACTAGTAGCGCCTGTTATTAAGGAAGGTGCTACGTCTAGGGATGTTTACTTGCCTGCAGGAGAATGGGTTGACGGAAATAATGGGTCGACATACAAAGGTCCCATCGAGTTAAAAAATTATCCGGCACCGATTGATGTTCTACCATATTTTATTAGAAACTCTGGTAGTGCTAATTTGGTTAATGTTATAACCATTTTATTCATGATAACTGTAACATACGTGGGCATTCCAGTTTAAATTGGGTTTACAACAATTTTCAAAGGCATAAACAACAGTTTCACTGTTTGTGATGTACGTGTATAGTAAAGTTTTGCTTAAAAGTTTGCTAAAATTGTAAATTCTGCCGAATTCTCTTGAGCAAAATGTAAAAAAATTCTTTTGGTATTAAACTTTTTTGGTCTATTTGCAAAGTTATTTTACTCTGATATACAAATATTTGTAGGTACCTCGAGTAAGCATGTAAATTATGGATTGCTTCTTTGGAAAACACGGAATAGGGAATGCAACTGTAGGTAGTAGTGTAACTGTACAAAAAATATCAATCGCATACTCAAACTAAAATGTATTCATCGTTCTTTATCGCCGATGACTAATCTTTCTTGGCGCTTGGATGTCTATCGGGATTTCTGGAATATTCGTTACATTATGTTGTGTATTGCAAGACTCTTAAATTTGATGCCGATAAATGTGATTTAGGAGGATGTTAATTCGCAACTGGCCGCATGCCGATTTGGAAGCTCCACAGATTCCCATCAAAATGAGAAAATTTTACGCATGGATCCAAAACTGTTGACGAATAAAGCTAAATATTTGTATGTATGTACAGAATGAGACCCTGTATAAATGATATGAAAAGTCCTCTAACATCCCATTTGAGCTTCCGCCGCCATATTGAATATGTCGAACGATTTCTCCTTTTTAGACACTATAATACTCAAAGACTAAATCCAATTCTACCAAATTGGGTAATGAAAAGACAATACCATTGCATTTATATACAGTCAATGATACTACGCAAATTAAACCGATTCCGGTTTTCGACATATTGAAGCTAACGTTGGAGCAAGGTTCTCCTCCTTGGGAAATGAGTTGCTAAGGTATCTCGAGCTTCTTTCGCATTTTTCGCGGACCACACACATAACCAGATATGATGATTAGATCCTCTTGAATATTTAGTGACAAAGATTGCCAAACCATTTAAATTTTATCGCGTAGATAAGGTTTCAAGGGGAATGTAGTCAATTTGCTCAGTAACTGCACCAATCCGCCAAAAATACAAACGGTCTCACGATGCGCGGAATTCTAACACTTTGCTGTAAGTTGACCAATAGCCTGTAATGCTGTAATTCACTAAAATTTTTAGACGTACTGATTTGGACTGCGCCAGTATCTAAAGCGGAAGATATTGTATTACTAAAACAGAACGAGGTTTCGCTACGTCTTTCGCCGGAACAAGGCAGGCTTGCGTTAACCGTATCTGATGGTATGCTATGAATCCAGAGACTTGGTAATCTCATTAACATTGTCATAGGTGAAACATTAAAATTAAAGGGAAAGATCGGTGTTCGAGCATCTGAACCGTTTACTCCATGCGACGGTGGCGTTAGAAATTGCTTCATGGTAGGTGATGGCATGCTCCAAGTAAGCACGCACCTGGATTACGGCTTTACAATACATTGGTCGACGAATAACACCAGAACGGAATTCGAGGACTGTTTCGATCTCGACCCTTTTCATTGGTACGGTGGTCCGGAACAGATAATGCAATTTTGGCCAATAGAAAAATTAACCCTGATCAATTTTGCAAACGTTGTGCAAGAATATCAGCACGGTGCTGTGATCGAACCCTACTGGTTAAACTCTGCGGGCGCCTTCATCTTTGTCGATCATAAGGTCCCGCTATTTATCAGTCAAAATGGGGATGAATCTGAGAGGAAAGTGTGCTTCTCAGCGAAGGGCACCTCGCCGTACTCACCAACTCGTAAAAGGGTTAGTAACATCTTCACGTTGTCATCAATATCATTTTTGCCAATTTTAGGTAACGCTAGCTTACACAATAGGTATAAAGGAAAATGTGCGCGAAGCACATTTGCACGCAGTAAAGGATTTCTTAGGCAAACCAACCGGTAATACACACTAATCAAAAACACTTCTAATTAGGTACTGTAATGCAGGTCATCCAAATTACAAAATCATTGAAAGGCCGATTTGGTCGACTTGGGCTAGGTATAAGAGGGACGTGAACGATGAGGTTGTGCGCGCTTTTGCCAAGGAGATTGCTGACAATGGATACACGAACGGACAATTTGAGATCGATGACGATTGGGAGGAATGTTATGGAGCTCTTACGTTCAGAAGTTCCAAGTTCGCAAATATTTCCAAAACCGTTGATTACATAAAGTCGTTTAATTTTACGGTGTCGTTATGGGTTCATCCCTTTATCAACACGGATTGCGTGGACCATTTAAGTGTGGCAAGGGATAGAGGTAGGTAGCCGTATGAGTATTATTGCAACATTTATTATCTTTGTTTAGGATACCTTATTAAGAACTTTGAAGGCAGTGACCTGACAACGTGGTGGAACAGTGCAAGTTACAAAGCTACTTATTTAGATTTCACCAAACTAGAAGTACGGGAGTGGTTTGCTGGGAGACTTAAATCTCTGCAAAAAAATTATGGTATAGATAGTTTTAAATTCGACGCGGGAGAAACGTCTTGGACCCCTAAGGTATTGCCATTTCATTTTAAATGGTGTAAAATCATTCTGGTTTTAGATACCACAACTGCAAGGCGACGAAGAAACGATGCCGAACGTACTTTCTGAGAATTACTTGCGAACGTGCGCTGAATTTGGAGATCTAATAGAAGTCAGAGCTGGATGGAGAACTCAAGATTTACCTATGTTCGTGCGAATGTTTGATAAAGATTCACACTGGACCTTATTCAATGGACTTCACTCACTTATAACAACCTTACTCCAAATGAATATGAATGGATACACAATGTATGTTAAAGTCTATTACAGTAGAGTTCTCAAACAGTTACTTGTACAGGGTGTTGCCAGACTTGATCGGCGGTAATGGATATCACAATCAGAAACCTTCAGCGGAATTATTTGTAAGATGGCTGCAAGCAAATACCTTCATGCCCAGTATTCAGTTCAGTTTCGTCCCATGGGACTTCACCGAAACCAAATTTAGCGTGACAGAAATATCGAGGAAATTCATTGATCTTCACCAAAAGTACGCCCCATACATAAAGACACAAATGGAAAGAAGTATTAAGGAAGGACATCCAGTGAATGGTCCAATTTGGTGGATTTCTCCAAACGATACGATAGCTTTGACGATTGATTCAGGTTTGTGGAGTTTTGCTTAGGCTATTATTTATACATTCATTTTAGAATTTTTACTGGGGGAGGATATACTAGTAGCGCCTGTTATTAAAGAAGGTGCTACGTCTAGGGATGTATACTTGCCTGCAGGAGAATGGGTTGACGGAAATAATGGGTCGACATACAAAGGTCCCATCGAGTTAAAAAATTATCCGGCACCGATTGATGTTCTACCATATTTTATTAGAAACTCTGGTAGTGCTAATTTGGTTAATGTTATAAGCATTTTATTCATGATAACTGTAACATACGTGGGCATTCCAGTTTAAATTGGGTTTACAACAATTTTCAGAGCATAAACAACAGTTTCACTGTTTGTGATGTACGAGTATCGTAAAGTTTCGCTTAAAAGTTTGCTAAAATTGTAAATTCTGCATTCATTTCCATAGTAACCGAAAGCATAGTAACCAATCAACATATTTTCTTTACCAGTGAGCAAACGCTCGTTTTGTTCTCGTTAAATAGTATAAATAAATAAATAAATAAATAAAGAGTATAGTAAAGTTTTGCTTAAAAGTTTGCTAAAATTGTAAATTCTGCATTCATTTCCATAGTAACCGAAAGCATAGTAACCAATCAACATATTTTCTTTACCAGTGAGCAAACGCTCGTTTTGTTCTCGTTAAATAGTATAAATAAATAAATAAATAAATAAAGAGTATAGTAAAGTTTTGCTTAAAAGTTTGCTAAAATTGTAAATTCTGCATTCATTTCCATAGTAACCGAAAGCATAGTAACCAATCAACATATTTTCTTTACCAGTGAGCAAACGCTCGTTTTGTTCTCGTTAAATAGAGAGCAAAACATGGCATTAATTAAGTATTGTGGAAAAAAGTCTCTAAAGTCATGCTTCTGCTTTGCGTTCTTTGTGTGGACCTAAATATACATGATCCCAATCGACTCAATTTAAATTGTTCTCCCATATCACAAATGACGTCCATCAAATATCATTCAATTCTGGCTATTTTTGTGGCCCGGCCAAGCTTGCGATTAAGATCAGTTTGTTGAATTTTCAAAAATGAATACGTTAGTACAGATTTTGAAAAAAAATTTGTAGTCAGAAAAGGAATAGGTACCTACATAAATTTCATCCCATCAAGTGGTATAGTTACTCAGAAAAAATTAAAGAAGCAATGAGATTTTAGAGGAATATTTGTAAACATGCTTGTTTTGATTCTTGCAATAACGCAACTGTATACTTAGTGCAACGATTGTCTAGCTTTTGACGGCATCTTTTCTCGTTCTAGAGATATCTGCATTATCAATTTTGACACGTCGGCAGATACATTCATAATTTCCACACTCAGACAAAGAGAGAGACCACAGGATAAGATGGTTCAAAGTAATGACCTAAACCTCACACAACTAACACTGTCAGCGATTCTATGGAAGCAAACGGGATTTGCTTGGTGCTATACAACCAAGTTGGAAGTATAGCTCAACATTTTCGAGACCTTATGCCCAAAAACGTTCAAAGCAAAATTCAAACTCGAATATAAATAAATTAGTAGGTTCTCCATTAGGTGTCCGGTAAATGTTTCCCACCTTCTCAGTTGAATAATTACGAACTGTTTGTACAGTATGTTTGTGTTCCAAAAATGCGTGTTAAGCAAGAAGGTTGACTTGTGAACCCTACCAGATAACTGATAAGTGCAGAACTAATTATTGTTAGTTTGTGTCAATCTGCTCCGATGGTAGAGATCTTCATACTTCAAAATGAACAAGAAAGTGTTTGCAATATTCTTCATCTTTTTGGTGATTAATTTTGTTCCATCCGAATGCACCGGTGTATTCATAAAGATAAAGGAAGTTGCGAAAACGGTGTGGGATTTTATCACGTTCAAGAATGCGAGATCGGGATCAGGTTAGACTTCATGCGTTATCAACTAAGATAGAATCATTTTTTTAGCCACAACCGCCGACCCTGTTTATGACATTGATGTACGTCTCAACACTGATAGTCCACCCGCGATGACGTAGACTGATCCAATGCTTGTGTTGATTAAAAAAAAAATAAATTTTCTTATTTTCTTAGTTTTATGTTACCTACACGGCTACACATCATTTTAGGCACACTGTGAAACTGATTTTATGTAAGCCACGTGTCGGTCTGAGGAAAGATCGACCAATCACATACTAAAAGCAGAAGTTCTAAAGAAGCACTTGATGCTGCATCCGGTTGGTTTAATGACCACTGTAAACGCTTATTTCTGCTTCTGCTTTTACAATGATTAACTGCTGCTTTCAAAATCCACCTGACTTCAATCTTGAATGACCAATCAAGTGACCTGTTATTTTAAACCACTGGACCAAATAAATAAGATTGTGAATATCAATTTTATTTATCTGAAAATGATAAGCATTACTTAAATAAACCAAATTACTAAACGTATTGCGTGCTTTGTCGTCGCACATAAAAACATAAAAATGAAAGCTCTCCTGATTTTCTTTGTGCTTAGCCTTGTGCATTGGTATGTGATTGCAGATCAAGGCAGTGTGGAAGAAAAAAAATCGATTAGTGATACTTCAAAAGGTGAACAGTACAGGTAGCTTTAGGTACGAGAATATATTCGTCTTTCTGTAGGTGACTTGCAGGAGAATCTGATAGAAGACCCCTACGCGGGTGTTAAAACAAGAAGATTAATTTCAGTAGAAAAAGTTTGCGAGAAAGGTGAGAGAGCTACCATGACGGGAAGGTGCCGAAAAGTAGCTGCATAATTTAAATTTTTTCAGAAAATTACTGTAATGTTGTAATAATTTAAATAAACGCTTCTTCTAATATACAAAGGGTGTTTTACTCTAAATCCACCATATTGCAATCGACAAAAGGTACCAGATGTAAAGTTTCTGCCATAGGGTTCTTTTAGTGAATTTCCGAACGTTGTCACGTTTTTGCATGTACAAAATAGCGGAATCGTTGTTGGACACTTGCAGACGAACTGCGTACGTTGACTTTGACTGGTTTCAGCAAGAATTCTTAAAATCTTTCACGATCTGGTTTATGTAATAAATATATAATGCAAAAAACCAATGCACTTTTTAGATTTGACGGGAACCATTCTCTACCTACGATATAACTGACTAATTTGTTCTTCTGCAGAAGCACCTCAAAAAATCATTATGCTGGTTACTCCGTAGTTGGGCGCAAGCCTGTTGAGGGCCCAGAACAAGAGAGGGACAATAAATAAATAAATAAAAAATAAATATTAGAAAATATTTGTTTATGTAAGTTTTTACTATTTCCTTGGCGGTGTGAATATCAGTTTCTAGAGTTAGTAGTTATTTTTTGACAAAAGTAAATGAAAAAAGTGTTTGTATCCGCCATAGTATATGACTGCAAAATGCGAAATCTTTTTTGAAAAAACGCATGTAAAAAGTGTTGTTCTTAATAAAGAGTGTACCCACCAAACTTTTTACCAGTTTTGTTGCCTGGCAATGAATTTCAATTCAACATTTTTTTCCGAATCTCAAAACTGCTTTTAGATCCGATGTTGCAATACACTCAGATGCCAAATTTCGTCGAGAGGCATCTTCTTCGCACGCACATTTAGGAGGTAGGTAATTTGGAATTTTTGACCCAGAAAGTACCAAAAGCCTAGTTAGTTCTGACTATTTACGTGTTCTGGTTTCCTCAGGAAAAATTAAAGAACAAACCCAAAGTTTGGGAGTTGTTGAGGAGAAAAGGAAAAAAAGTATCCCAACTTTTTTTGACATACTTAATTGTTACATCCCGTATAGGTACATAAAACGCATAGTAGAATTCACTAAAAAAATCGAACAAATCACCTGAATTTGGCAGTGTTTAAAGTACGAAGATGATTGCGTACCTACAATCACTCAATCGAGGCTTGGAATTTTCTTTAAATTTTGTTGCAAATTCGATTTTTCTTACCACGCCTATTAACGAAACAATAAAGTTTCCGAAACCATTCGTAACAGTTTCAGGATGTGAGTAGTCTACTAGTGGTCTCTTATCTTATCAATGAAAGACGTATAAAAGTAGCTCACTGTGACCAAACTGGGAAGTTTGCCTTTCAATTATGCTAATTTTGTAAATGAGATTATCTCATGCAATATCAGCGCCGAATCACACAAAGGTCAACTTATTATTAATTTATGGAAGCAGGTTTACCCGCAAAATTCCGACGTAGTTTTGAATTAGGTAAACGGGAAATTTGGAGTGCAATTCATCTACAAAATGACATGTCGCGTGCGATATAAATTAGTTCATTGCAGTAGTCTTGTGATAAGTTGATCCCTGAGATATCCATCCCTTTGAAAATGTTGCTTAAATTTGTGGTTTTTCTGTTGTGCTTCGTTGTGCTATACGTAAACTGTGGGGTAGCTGTTAACGGGCGATTATCAGAAGAGGAGGATGATACAATATCGTTTCCAGATGAGTTGCAATCTCGATCAGGTGTGTATTGGAAAACAAAACTTCAACTTTTTGCTTATTACTGTTTTCCCTACATAGCTACTAATATACCTGAAAGTAACGGTATGTACCTTATATACCGGAATATGTTCCGGTATACCGGCCGTTGTGGAAATAATGAAGCTCTCGTGGGTGGACGTTGCAGAAGGAAATTTCCGAGGTTCTAACCGTTTCCATTGAATGATAATTTATGGAGAGTAGATATGTTCTCAAATGCAACACCAATGTGGTTGACGTTGGCACCGTGATGGAATATTGAAGATCGCCTTTTCGCTAAATTAAAAGGATATTAAACCGTATCTTGCTGTACCATAAAAACACTTTGATACTCATTATTTTACAAATAAAGTCCTAGTAACGATGATTTAACAGTATAGAGCGGGACCTTTAGTACCATTTACTGCGGGTCATTGATAGCCTTGGGGATTGGTAGATGCGATTCGGTTCAGAATGGGAAATCTATGAAGAAAGAAAATCAAAAATATTACATTGTGACAGTGTAACCAAAAGGCAAGTTATCCATACAATTATTTGGCAAACTATAACCCCTACCACCCATCCTTCCACACCCTGCTGGTAGCACAGATTTGGGAAGTTCTTGAACGATTCATTCCATTGGCACCATACAATGTAGTCATTTGTGAAGTTGTTTAATTTATTGATCAGGAATTTGCGCAGCCGGAGTCAATATCCTGGGCATAATCTGGCAGCTTTGTGTGGTGATTAAAACTCGGTTCAGAAAATTAAAAAAAAATGGACCAGATTAACGGTTATATCAAAAAAACTGAAAAGTGCCCATTTCTAATAAAAGTTAATTGTTTATACCTATTGCAATCGAAGTTGGGAAGATTTGGATACCCCATATAAATGAAAATGACAAGCACCTTTTTCCTACAAGATTGTAGGTAAAGTTATATATTGGTTTAAAAGAAAAAGGTGACATTCATTGGGTATACCAGAAAATGATCAAAAATCCTTACAATCACTTACTATTACCATGCAAGGCAGTGCCATCCGTCTTCCGTTGCAAAAACGGTTGATAAATCATGGTTATTGGGTTATTAATATCTCTTTGGTTAAATGAGTACCATATTGGATTTTTACACCATGGAGGAGAATTTTATATTCCCTTGCCAAGGATATGTAATAATGAATTTTTGGACGGTTAAAAAGTACATCTTTCTAACGATGAAGGAAATACGCTAGGAAATAAGTGCTTAAAAAATAATTAATTATTAAATTAAATGAACTTAGCTGGAGATTCTGCAACACATGCTGTTTTATAAATTTTGGGGGCGTATCTAACATTTCAATATTCGATGAGTGTTTTTTCGCGTTAGTTTTAATGTCCCGTTTTGCTTAATATAATAATTTTAGTTTGTGCGTGTTAATTTTACATCATGAACATGAGTACTTCAGGCGTACTTCTTATACAGTCAAATTGAGGGATCTAAGGAAAAAAAAGCTAACTAAGGCAAATGGGACCTGGGCTTTTGTGTTATCTCTCTCCACCTCCTCCTGTCCATGGCAACTTTTTTCCAATTGCGGATTCCGATTTCTTTTCTCTGCTACAATTGTGTCTATGCATTTCCTTTTCGGCCTCCCTTCTCTTCTTTTTTTGCACTCCGCGTTCCTCTCCTAGCGTCCTTATGTGGTACAGCCAGCGTATTCTTTGGTTTTTAATCACTCCTAATATGGATTGCTGGTCATACATCCCCATCACCTTTTCATTTGTTCTCCTTCCCCATATTCTATCTCCTACTTTCTTGCCATTAAATATTCTTTCTAGCACGTTCCTTTCCCATATTTCCAGATATTTTGTTTTGATAAGAGACTATATTTCACTCTTGCACCTTACTGTCGACCGCACTGTTTTATAGAGTCTGATCTTGGGATTTCGCGATACACTATTTGATTTGAAAATTCGCAATAAGGATGTAATGATCTACCGTTTCTAAAAAAAATAATTTTCTTTTGACCTCCTACAGTAGGGTAGAATTTGAATCTGACAGTGTAACTTAAATGGTTAATCTGTGCCGGGAAGGAATTATTAGCATTCCCTCTTTGATAGCGGACACTTAAGGGAGGAGTGTGCAAATATTTTAGCGCTAGATTATTTAAGCAATCGGTTAGACTTATAGTCTAAGCGAATTTCAAAAGTGAGTATAAGTGAAGAAATTCAGTGCTAATATTCTTCGCCGAAAAATAGCAACACTGTAATAAAGAAAACGTACTTATGGACATTTGAAGAATCCAGCGTTTTGTTTCTCACGCCTAACACATTTTAAACAGCTTGCGTTGTTTTACGGGACAGTTTTTCCTTTTGGAGAATTACATATTGGAGTATATCAGAATACATTTCAAAATCAGTATTTATCCAACTTTTGATTAAAAATGATTGACGATTATTGAGATATCCGTGAAAGCGAATTGAACTAAATTCTTTCCTGTGTCAAACTATGGTTACATTTGCTAGCTGGAAGTAAAAGTACGAAAAGGTAAGCTTCAATAAGATACTTCAGCAACATCACAAGTCGAAGAAATCTCCAACCCTTTACAAGATACCAATATAAATTGACACCTCTCCACGGGTTTGAATTATCGAAGCAGCCTTTAATTTGTAACCGTTCCGTGATGTTAAGAAAGAATGTGCGAAGAAAACAGGGGGGGGGAGTTATTATTAAGAGGAATTAAAGGAAATGTGAAAATAGGTGAAGAAAGAAGGCATACAAAGAGGAAGTACGAACCAGCCGTAAAGAAACGATAATGTAAGAAAGTGGTCACGACGAAGGCATGACGCACGGATACGTGAAGAAAGAAAGATATGATGAAACAAAATGTGCAGAAAGAAGGCGAAAACAGTGGAAGAAATTTGAGGAAAAGTGTGATAAAAGCTATTGAAGAGGAAAGTGGCGAAAATGAATTAAACGTGATATGGCGTAATGACAGCGCGAAGAAGGTTCGACGAGAGGTTCGAACAGTCAAAAAAGATGGAGGCCGGGAGTGCGATGGAAAAATGGGAGTGACGAGGTATATTCGAAAGCGAAAATAAGCAGTAAAAGCTGATGGAGCACTATAATGGATGAAGAAAGTTGTAGGCGTAATAGAAAACTGTGGGGGACGATCTTAAAGGAGGCCTGAAAAATGAACGAGCGTAAAGTCACAAAGCGACAGTCTGATGGAACGAGGGGTAAAGAACAGAGGCGCAGCGAAGAGTAGGTCAGGGGGAGGAAGACACTTTAAAAAATGAAGGAGGTGTAAAAGACGTATGACGAGGAAAATAATGAAAAAAAGAGACTTGAAACAAGGGCCGAATGAAGGAGTAAAAAAGAGCCTAAATAGTTCCGAAGAAAGCAAGGGGAATGCGCCAACGAAGTGTAACCGTAAGACTAAGAGATTTATGGAAAGCGTGAAACAATTAATAGAAAAGAGTTTAAAAGGAGAAGGGTGTGACGGTAGCCTTAATTTTGAATTAAAATTTTTCCAGTTTTCCCGCAGAAATAAGTAACGTAGAACTCCTGTTGACAATGCCAAGGTTATGCAGTGTCCTCCCAAACAAACTTTGGTCATGATAATGTCATGTAAGGAATTTATCTGAATGATGGCATTATTTTAACGAAATGTGTCACATCTGGCTATTCATGTTCAATGAGCTATTGTCCTTTAAATACTTGGGACGTCAAGATAGCGGTGATCGGGGTCAAATTACGTCCGTTTTAATAATAGTATTCCATTAGTTACCGCATCATGAGGTAAAGCCACCGTGGAAACTGCTTCACTTGAATATTTTTTGAATTATTAACGACCTCTAGATTAATGAATTAAGCTACCAGGACCGAACTGAGTTTTTGGAGTTGGTACTTTTTGCATTCGAGTTATCAATGATAACCGAGTGTTAGGTTAAAAACAAAGAAAGCTATTTGTGAAGATTTTTCGAGTTTTTACATTTGCTTGTTAATGAAAACTAGCCCCGGTACCAGAGTCAAGTGTTATAAGAAGAGGTTCGTTTACGTTCTTTGAATATAGGCCCTCGGTATACTTTTCTACAGCCAAATTGTATTAAATCCTTATCGGTTACACCCTGTATACTTTTCTGTCACCTCGAGCGTGTTAAGTGACCCGAGTTATAATTTATAATGGTTGTACCCAAAGGTGAAATATCTGTGTGAGTAATACTAAATCATGACTGATGATGAAAGAGTTTGTATGAAGCATAGGATAAAGTCACGCCAAACGCGTCATAATTTTATTGAAGACCGGAAAACGAGTGACCAGAGATGATCTTTGCGGTGAATCGCGACGAAGGCGTGGTTAAGGAAAATTTTATACTTATTTTAAAGTTAATCAGTGTTGCTTTAATATTGCAAAGTTGTTGATCTACAATGTTGTCGAAAATTGTAATACTCCTTTCCATTTTTACTCTTTGGAGTGCGAATTGTCAAAATTTAGAAGAAGATGATACAATTTCTTTTCCAGATGAGATGCAATCACAAATGAGTATGTATAAAACTACAGTAACCTTATATTTTGCTTCTTATGTATTCAGACTTCAACAATCCAGAAGTTGCGCCAAGAAATTTATTCCAGTTTGCTGGAACAGCTTGTGCTAAAAATGAAGTTCTGGTCGAGGGAAAATGTAGACGGAAATTTGGACGATTTTAGCATGTGGATACTTCTGTTTACGCTTAACACTGTACAATTAGTTACCTAGGCCCAACTATTTCCGAATGCTTCTCCCAAAAGTACAGTTATCGATCATACCTCGCAATCCAGTTACCAATTTATGTATCAGGAATGGCTTAGAAACATTACAAGGCAAATAAAACCAAATTTTGTATTCATCATAACATTCTTTACCAAAATTATTATTGTAATGACTTTGATGGTGAATTGAGCTTTTTTGACCGATTACCTTTAATTAAGTTTACAGAATACAATAATAAAAATTAGCTATTTGATAATCTAACATAATTTTTATCCGTAGTCTTCGGCTAAATGCAATTAAATAAAAAGTTGGCGTTTATTTGCTAACTAAGTTCCGTTTTGCTTTTGACGATCGATGTCGGGATTTTCCATCAGGACTAGTGTCAATGGGAAATCCTGAAATCGATAGCTAAAAAAACTGAATAAAGTTTTATTTAATTGTATAAAATTTCAACCCTTCTCATTTGACATGCCCAATGCAATCGTACACAATTGATAACCAACAAGTGTCGCATTTGCACTAAAACTATCATCCTTGGGAATGTTAGCAACTGAAATCCAATGTTGGGCAAGCTTTCCAAGGATAGTAAAAAGGTCACACAAATATATAAAATGGTGCGATCTGTAGTTGAACAGTCTTCATTTCAAAATGCGCAAGTA